GCCCGCGGCAAGGCCTCGCGTCGTCCTCGCGGAGAGGGAGAGGGGGGTTGTGCCCCGGCGGGCTCATGCAGCTGTCCAGGTGCAAAGCCCGACCAGGTTGAGGCCCGACCACTTTCCATCCCGCTCGGCCCACCCGGCCCGATCATCGGCCCCTTCGCCGCCCTGCCTCTCCCCGGAATAGCTTTATTATTTGGGCGTATCTCAGTAAATGGAACGCACTCGCGTTCTCGGGACGGTGCCCACCGGTTACTGGGGGGGGCTGGAGCGAACAAGTGACCAGATAAAGACCACTGCGTGGGGCCCTATGGAGCGGGGAAGGGTGCTTCCTCACCGCACTTCTACTACATACCGTTGTGCACTAAGGAAATAGTTTATTTGGTTCAAGTCGGTTCAAGTAAATTAAATCTATCCATATCACAGGAAATTTTAAATGGAAATTGCTTTGATTTATATTCATTTTTTTGTGAGACCTTGCTTGTAAAGGGGGGGAAAGTAGAAAATATCCGTTTTGCGGGAGGTCGGGCTGTATGGAGACACAGGTGCTTGACAGGTGTGGCCGGCGCTCCTCTGGGGAAGGACAATTTCCCCCTTCGAAAGATGACGTTTGCAAGCATAATCATTTGTTTGGGACAAAATTGTGTCTTATTTAGAATGCTGGTCGACTGTCGGCACAGGCTGTACGCAAACTGCTGCCCCGCCCCCGCCCGCCGCTGCACCACCTTGACGAGTTCCACCCGGTCGGTTCCACCCCACGGCGAGTGTTTGACAGCAGCGCTGCACGGTAGTGACGGTGCAGCCAAACAGCAGCGGCCCCCGGCAGCGGCGCGCAGCAGCGCCGCGCGCTAACGAAGGGCGTAAGTTACAGGGCCTCGGCCCTAGATAGCGCGCAGAGTAAACCCAGCAATCGTTTTTGGCGGGAAGAGGCCGAGGCTAGAGAGCGCGCGGGGCTATGCGGGGCGGGGCGTGGCGCGGCGGGGAGTGGCGGCGGGGGGCGCCCAACATAAACAGGGCCGGCCAGACTCAATCAGCGAAC